ATAACCATATTATTTTGAAAAATTATATTTTTCGAAGACCATGCGTCATGGATTTTTTAAAAAAATATTTTTTCTTAAAGACCCTAAGATGTTGATTTTCTAAAAATATATTTTTTTCAAAGACCAAAGGGCGTCAATTTTTTGAAAAATATTTTTGTCGAAGACCCTAAAACGTGTATTATTTTGAAGAAATATTTTTTGAATATTTTGTGGAAAGGTGCCAAAAGCAGTGAACCGATGTTGCCCATATCGATCTCCGAACTCGAACTGATTTTTTTTCTTGAAGACCGTAAAACTTGGATTTTTTAGAAAATATTTTTCTCGAAGACCATAAGTGGTAGATATAAAAAAAATCTCAGAGACCCTAAGACGTTGATTTTCCAAAAAAAAATTCCAATGACCAAAAGACGTGGAGTTTTTGAAAAAAATATTTTTTTTTGAAGACGATAAAACATGGATTTTTTTAAAGAAATATTTTTTGGATATTTTGTGCAAAAGGTGCCAAAAGCATTGAACTATGATTTTTTTCTCGAAGACCGTAACCATATATTTTTGAAAAATAATTTTTTTCGAAGACCATAAATCGTGGATTTCTTAAAAGATATTTTTCTCTAAAAACATATGACATTAATCTTTAAAAAAAAATTCAAAGGCAGAAAGATGTGGATTTTTTGAAAAAAAATATTTTTTTCGAGGACCATAAAACGTGGTTATTTTTATGGGAATGGTTGGTTATTTTATGGGAATGTGCCAAGAACAGTGAACCGATGTTGCTCATCTCCGAACTCGATCTGACTCGATCGAAGACCATAAAACGTGTTTTTTTTAATATTTTTCTCGAAGACCCTAAGGCAAAAAAAAGTGAATTTTTTGAAAAATATATTTTTCTCGAGGACCATAAAAGTGATTTTTTTTAAAGAAATATTTCTTGGATATTTTGTGGGAAGGTGGCAAAAAGAATTGAACCGATGTTGCCAAAAAGTACTGAACCGAGAGTTATTGTACCAGACAGACGGGCAGACGGAAGGTTACCCCTACATCGATTACGTATGTCTAGAAACGGATTTGTTCCGAAGAGACCTAAGGAATCAAATGGTTATTTCTACAAGGCACGTTTTGGCTATATCAAACGATGTGTACACTTAATCATTTTTTTTTTTTTTGGATCTTTAATTTTTTTTTTAAATCTAGGTTCATTAGATCTTAAAAAAATTTTTTTTGTTTAAATCCAAGTTTATTTATTGTTTAAAAATATATATTTTAAAAGTTCTATATTTATAAGTGCCTGTATTTTTTTTTTTTAATTCACTTATAAGGATCTATGAAAAATAAAAATATTTTTAAATACACGTTTAGTTGTCATTGAAAAAATATTTTTTTAAGAAATCCACTTTGATATGTTTTAAAAAAATATTTATATTTTTTATTTTTAATTTTGGAACTTTGAAAAAATATTTTTTAAAAAAATCCACTTTTATTGCAAATTTAAAGAATATACCTTGTTTTTAAAAAAAAATGTCTCCAAAAATTTTTGAAAAATCAAAGTTTATTTATTATTTTCAAAAAAATATATTTTTAAGAGTCCATGTTTATAAGTCCCTGCAAAATATTTTTTTTGATTCACTCATATTAGTCTGTGAAAAAATAATTTTAAATACACGTTTGGTTGGCCTAGCAAAAATATGGTTTATAAGATATCCATTTTAATATGTTAAAAAAATTAATATTTTTTATTTTTAATTTTGGAACTTTGAAAAATATTTTTTTTAAATCCGAATTCATTGTTACTTAAAAAAATTATATTTTTTTAAAAAAACAAGTCTTCAAAAAAAGTGTCTAAAATCTAAGTAATATTTTTATTATTTCAAAAAATAAATTTTTAAAAGTCCATGTTTATAAGACTCTACAAAATATTTTTCTTTTTTAAATTCACTTATATTAGTTTTTGAAAAAATTAAATATTTTTTAAATACATGTTAAATTGTCCTAGAAAAAATATGATTTTTTAAGATATCCATTTTAATATGTTAAAAAAATATTTAAAAATTAATTTTAATTGATCTTTTTTAATTTTTAGTTTGTATTTATTTTTTTCAATATTTATAAAAAATATATTTTTTTGTTGTTTGAAAATATTTTTAACGAATACAAATTTATTTTTATTTTAAATTTTAATTTTTGATATTAAAAAATAACAAACAAATATTTTGTTTTTAGAAAGATTTTTCTGTGTGATTTTCATTAACAACTTTTATTTTCTCCGAAATAGAGACTTTATTCTACCACAATTCCACTCAATTTAAATAGGCCTTCCTCCTCCTCCTCCTGGCAGGGTTCCTCATTATTTGTTACCATTTCACCCATAAAAATAATATTTATTTAAAAATTAAAATTAGCTTTTGTTTAAAATCACATAAATTTCTCATTATTATAGCCATTGCAGATTATTGCCCGAAAAAAAATACCAAAATAATAATAATTTCTAATATTTATGGCCAGGAAAAATACATTTACAACAACAACAGCGTGACATTGCAATGACACCAAATTATGTTTACGTTCATTGTAAACGCAGGACAATTAATTAACAAATAAAATGTCAATTAATTTTATAACTCTGCGAATAGAGTAAAGGCTAAATATTATGGCCAAACAAAATAACAATTAAATAATGAATTCAAATGGCAAATGCATTTGTAGTGTTTGGCCAAGAGGCCTAAGGTCCCTTGGCGGATGGTGGCAATAAATAATGCATTGTCAATTTAATAATCATGCATTACAGGGCGGTGCAATGGCAGGAGTGCGTGGATGGGCGTCAATGAGAATATCTAGGGTTTGGGAAATATTTGTCTGGCCTGACCTCTGTTGGGTTCAGTTATTGAAAAAAATATTAATTTTTTTGGTATTTTTATTTAATTTCAAATTTGTTTGGCCTGACCTGACCTCAGTTGGGTTTAGTTAATAAAAATATTTCGCACTTTTTGTTGTTTTTGTAAATTTTATTCACTCAAAAAAAGGTTTCTAACGATAAAAATAACGGCTATAGGGCCTATAAAATTCCCATACCGTTCTATCTCTTTTTGAGGATTTTGTCGCCTTGAGCTCCGGTTTTTGACTTGTGGCTTCCACAGGATATGCAGCTAATGGTGGCAACACCTTGGCCCAGTTTTTACCAATCGGAACGCTAGTTTTTGGCTGAGAAGTTGTCATCTCCCCAGGAACCGCCATCCTCACCTCCCACTTGGGCACAAATTGATTGCAGCCCTCCCTGGTACAGGGCACGTAATAATGTTGGCCATCGGATTTATAAATTGGCCTTAAGGCCGCCGCCATTGAACAGCTCCAAATTAAGAAAACGCCTGCCAACAGCTGTGACTTCATGCTGCCTACTCGAAGAAATTCGAAAATAATACTGAATCATATTTGTGCTATGTTTAATATTTATATGGCGGTTGGGGAGAAATTCGATGACGTCATATCAATTTGCAGGTGGTTTCTTAGAAAAAAAAAAAAACTGGAAAATAAATGGAATATTTTTTTTCTCAGAAAAAATTATTGGAAATAATGGCGCGGGTGAAATATAAGGAGAACCTGATGCTTATTTCGAATTTTATAAACGTTTTGGTTATTCAGAACTTTGACCCTTTGTGGGGGAGCTGCCAGAAGGAATGTTCCGATCTCTACCATCTTCATAACAGATCTTGTGTTGATGGAAATATTGAGATGTGCCAAGGCTGAATGGAATCGAATGTTAATTTTGGATCTTATGAGCTTCATGAATATTCAAAATTTTTAGCCTTTGTGGGGGAGGTACCAGAAGGAGTGGACCGATTTATTCCATCTTCACAGCATATCATGAATTAGTAAAAGTATTGGGAAATATAAGGAGAATCTGATGCTTATTTCCGATTTTATAAACGTTTTGGTTATTCAAAACGTTGAACCTTTGTGGGGGAGGTACCAGAAGGAATGGTCCGATCTCTACCATCTTTATGGCAGATCCTGTGTTGATGGAAATATTGAGATGTGCCAAGTCTGGAATGGAAACGGATGTTAATTTTGCGTTATTAGAGCTTCCAGATATTCAAAATTTTGACCCTTTGTGGGGGAGGTACCGGAAGGAATGGACCGATATTGCCCATCTACTACCTCGATCTAAGTTTGACAAAAATATTACGATGTACCAAGTTTGGACCAAATCAGATATTCACTTTGAGTGTTATCGTGCCCACCAGCCAGCCAGAAAGACAGAAGGACGTGCATTGATAGATCGACTCCAAATGTCCTGAAACGGATTTGGTCCGTTATTTCGACTAGGCACGTTTTGACCGTATCAAATGATATAAACCCTCGCTAGCCATATGTGTGAGGTTTTTATATGTGGCATGTCTGGCTGTCTAAATTCGGATTCAGACAAACCAGGTTTTCGGTATCTGCAGCTATGCCGGCAAGACTGTCTGCATCCATACTCCAATAAGCCAGGCTGGCTTTTTTGCATCCTGACCTATATCTGAACCCTGACCAATTCCCTAGAAGCACATTCTACCTAACCAAGACACCTTTTTGACCTCTTAGTTCCCAAAAAAAATTTAAAATATTTCGAATAACATCTGAAAATGGTGCAGTACGTCTGGTTGTCTAAATTCGGAAACTAACCAGGTCAGGCTACCGTTATCTGCACCCAAGCCAGCCAGATTGTTTATATCCTTACCCTGGTAAGTAAGGCTGTCTTTTTCGCAACCTGACTATTCTAGCTGTCTATATTTGAACCCTGGCAAGTTCATTATATACGCACCCTGCCTAACCAGGAGATAAGATGTCCTCTATAAAAATACCAAAATGATTGAAAATTTCAAAAATATATTTGAAAAAATTTAAAGTATATTTTTAGCCATTGGTGTGGTAGGACTCTGAAACGTTGGTGCGTGTTTAGCCGTTGTTGTGCCTGGGGAAATGATCGAGCCTCAGGCTGTGGCTGTTGATGAGTCCGCTGAAGTTACCTAACCCAGAGATGTCGGCCATGTTGGTGAATATGTAGGTGGTGTTGTGCCCGGTGAAGATGCCCAACCCGATGTGGGCGCTGATGGGTAGGTGGGTTCTGGGACGCCTGTAGGTGCTGTTCCATGCGTGGGTGCCGTTGGGCCGGGTGAAGAACCCGAAGTTGGGAAAGTGGGTTCTGGGACTGATGTGGGTGCTGTTGGCTGAGGGTAAGTGGGTGCCGATGGGTAGGTGGGTTCTGGGACGCCTGTAGGTGCTGTTCCATGCGTGGGTCCCGTTGGGCCTGGTGAAGAACCTGAAGTTGGGTAGGTGGGTTCTGGGACTGATGTGGGTGCTGTTGGCTGAGGGTAAGTGGGTGCCGATGGGTAGGTGGGTTCTGGGACGCCTGTAGGTGCTGTTCCATGCGTGGGTCCCGTTGGGCCTGGTGAAGAACCTGAAGTTGGGAAAGTCGGTTCTGGGACTGATGTGGGTGATGTTGGCTGAGGATAAGTGGGTGCCGATGGTTCTGGAACGGCTGTAGGTGCTGTTGGCTGAGGGCCTGAAGTTGGGTAAGTGGGTGCCGATGGGTAGGTTGGTTCTGGTACTCCCGGTGCTGATCCTTGTGTGGGTGTTGTTGGGCCTGGTGAGGGACCTGAAGTTGGGAAAGTGGGTTCTGGGACGGCTGTAGGTGCTGTTGGTTGAGTGCCTGAGGTTGGGTAAGTGGGTGCCGATGGGTAGGTGGGTTCTGGAACGGCTGTAGGTTCTGTTGGCTGAGGGCCTGAAGTTGGGTAAGTGGGTGCCGATGGGTAGGTGGGTTCTGGATCGGCTGTAGGTTCTGTTGGCTGAGGGCCTGAAGTTGGGTAAGTGGGTGCCGATGGGTAGGTTGGTTCTGGTACTCCCGGTGCTGATCCTTGTGTGGGTGTTGTTGGGCCTGGTGAGGGACCTGAAGTTGGGAAAGTGGGTTCTGGCACTGATGTGGGTGCTGTTGGCTGAGGGTAAGTGGGTGCCGATGGGTAGGTGGGTTCTGGGACGCCTGTAGGTGTTGTTCCATGCGTGGGTGCCGTTGGGCCTGGTGAAGGACCTGAAGTTGGGTAGGTGGGTTCTGGAACGGCTGTAGGTGCTGTTGGCTGAGGGCCTGATGTTGGGTAGGTGGGCGCTGATGGGTAAGTGGGTTCTGGTACTCCCGGTGCTGATCCATATGTGGGTGGCGTTTGGCCGGGTGGAGTTGCCCAACCTGGTGTAGACGTTGTTGGTAAATATGTGGGTGTTGTAGGTGCTGGTGGTAGAGGACCAGAGGTTGGGTAAGTGGGAGGCGAGGGATTAGTGGGTTCTGGAGCCGGTGGTTCTAGACCCGTTTCTCCTGTGCCAGGACAATTTGGTTTCGGACATCCATTCCATCCACACTGGAACCACCCTCGTATGCTCTGCCATATATTCGACGAGGGGGTAATTACAATAATTGGTGCAGAATTTGCACATCCACCCAAACAGCCACAGCTTGCCAAGGCAATGCAAGCGCTAAAGAAAACCAATGCCAAGTACCTCATGATTCCGAGCAATGGACAACTAACTACAGAAATGTGCAGATTTTTTGGTTTTTATAGAAAATCAACTTATTTTGATGTTAGAAATTTCTCCTTCCGGATTTTTGAAATTATTTTGGTGTGAGAACCAAAACAAGTTATTTTCCATTACCTAAACGACAGATGTTTAGCGGAACTTTATTGGCATTTTTTTTGTAATATTTGGGCAGGTGTGGTTATGTTTGGCAAAAAAACTATCCCGCAACAACAACAAGTTTATAAGTAAAAGCAAATTATGTTTACTTGTAAACAATCCAAAAAATCGTTCGTTTTTATACCCTCCACCATACTATGGAGGATATATTAACTTTGTCATTCCGTTTGTAACTCCTCGAAATACTCATGTCAGACCCAACAAAGTATATATATTCTTGATCAGCGTAAAATTCTAAGTCGATTTAGCGATGTCGGTCTGTCCGTCTGTCTGTCTGTCTGTCTGTCAGTCTATCAGCCTTTGCAATCACGCTATCTTTCGAACGGATCGAGATAGAAGGCTAAAATTTTGCAGACAAGTTTATTTTGCCAGTAGGCAGGTTAAGTTCGAAAATGAGCCATGTAGGTCCACGTTTTCATATAGCCCCCATATAGCGGTACCACCCGACATTCGGTATTTTGACGATTTTAGCGGCATTATTCACCGGAATTGTTTCAAATTTGGTATTTAAAGTTCGAAATGGATACTATAGCCTATGACAGAAAATTGCTTGTGCAGGTTCATATCTTCGTATAGGCCCCATATATCAGTTCCTCTCAATATTCGGTATTTTGATGATTTTAGCGATATTATTTACCGGAATTATTTCAAATTTGGTATTTGAAGTTCGAAATGGATACTATAGCCTAAGAGAGAAAATTATCCTGGCAGGTCCACGCCTTCGTATAGCCCCCATATAAGGGTACCTCCCGATATTCGGTATTTGGATGATTTTAGCGACATTATTTAACGGAACACTTTTAAATTTAGTATTTGAATTTCGTAATGAATACTACAGCCTGAGACAGAAAATTGTCTGTGCAGGTCTACGTTTTCGTATAGCCCCCATATAATGGTACCTCCCGATATTCGGTATTTTGATGATTTCAGAGACATTATTTAACGGAATTATTTCAAATTTTGTATTTGAACTTCGTACTCGATACTACAACTTATGACAGAAAATTGTCTGTGCAGGTCCACGTCTTCGTATAGCCCCCATGTAACGGTACACCCCGATATTCGGTATTTGGACGATTTTAGTGAATTTATTTACCGGAATTGTTTCAAAATTGGTATTTGAACTTCGTACTGGATACTACAGCCTATGACAGAAAATTGTCTGTGCAGGTTCACGTCTTCGCATAGCTCCCATATATCAGTACCTTCCTATACTCGGTATTTTGATGATTTTAGCGGCATTATTCACCGGAATTGTTTCAAATTTGAGATTTAAAGTTCGTAACCGGTACTACAGTCTATGACAGAAAATTGTCTGTGTAGGTCTACGTCTTCCTATAGCTCCCATATAACGGTACCTCCCGATATTCGGTATTTTGATGATTATAGCGAGATTATTCACCGGAATTGTTTCAAATTTGGTATTTGAAGTTCGTAACGGGTTCTACAGCCTATGACAGAAAATTGTCTGTGCAGGTCCATGTCTTCGTATAGCTCCCATATAACGGTTCCTCCCGATTTTCAGTATTTTGATGATTTTGACGGCATTATTAACCGGAATTGTTTCAAATTTGCAGATCCACGTATTATAACCCCCATGGTACCTCCCTATATTTGGTATTTTGATGATCTTATCTACATTATAATCAGATTTTTTTCAAGTTTCGCATTTGAATATTGTTAGAGCTTGTGACAGAAGTTCCCTACGGCTACATTCGGTATTTTTAAGATTTTAACAGAATTTGTACCAAATGGGGGAGGGTATTTAAAGTTCGGCCCGGTCGAACTTACAGCTGTTTTACTTGTTTATTGTAAAAAAATACCTTGGACTCAGAGGCCTCCGCCGTACATAGCGTACATAGTCTCTACCGAACTTAGAGATATCATACATAATATATTTAGCCTCTCAGTGAGGGAATCTGCGGATGATATTTTGATATAGCCTCACTCTGCGGATGACAGAGGCCATTGCGGAAGATATTTTCCCCCTAGAACTCATTACTAAAGAATTTTGGGCCTCAATGGCATCTACCATGGAGAAGTTGCTATCGCCATTACCAAAGAAGCTTCTGCCGCGAAGAGTGTTTGACATCATCGTCCAGAAGGTCCTAATTGCCAGACTTCCTAATTGCTCATTGCAAATACCATTATCACATATGCTCTCCTATTGGATTATCCTTTTTCCATGTTAATCGGATAATACTCTTAAATTTCTTGAAAAAATATAATTTTTTTTTCTCTCCCCTCTCCCCCTCTTCTCTTGCCTAGAAAGCCCAAACTACAGCTAATATTTGCTCATAAATTATGATTGCCAGCAACCCTTTGCCTCCGACAGGCCCGTTGCCAAATTAAGATAACAATTTGACAAATTGGTCAAGTGATTTGCACAAAAGAAAGCAATGACAAAATAGAGATCCACACAGAAAAAAAGCCAGTCATAAAAAGTCTGCCAATAAACATGAAACCCCTCCTCCACCCCTCCTAAAATGATAAGCCAAAAACTTCGATAAAAATAATATTTTTAGAGAAGAAAATATGAAGTTACTATCCCAAAAAAAAGGATACAATTTCAAACAATATTGATGAAATCATGCCAAGCGTAATCCTTACAACAAATTAAGGGGTTGTTGTTGTTTGTTCGGAAATCCTCAAAGCATAACCCACAATCAACACTCATATATTTTTTGGCCAGGATTGTCGAGGCAACATCAAACTAAAATAATTGAATTGTTAACAATTTGCAATATCGATATCCTTTTGTCATTGTGCCTGGCGAGGGGAAGGGAGGGTAGGAAGGGTTGTCGTTAAGGGGTGCCAAACGGCACTTAATAACAAGTAAAAATATGATTGTTAAACAACACAATTTGCAACAATTTTATTAAGCATCGGAACAATAGGGTTGGGCACACACACACACTCTCTCTCTTTCTCTCTCTCTCTCTCTCTCTCTTTCCTACACACAATATCCTTTGTTGGTTTCAAGATATTATGCCACAAAATTTATGGTTAGTAATTGAATGTTTGATGAGCCAAACAATTTTGATTGAATTTAGACAAAAATGATAGTCAGCCGAACAAGGAGTGGAGAAAGGAGCATATCCTTTTTCTGGGGTTTATTTTTTATTTGGATGATTTGGCAGAATAAATCCTGGCAAGTTATTCCCCCACCCAAAAGTACTACAAGGATATCAATTCAAAAGGACTTTTTTTCCTACATTGTCATGGTTTCATGTGCCTGGGCCAAAAAGGGTTGTCTTTTCTTGGCATGTGTGTGCCCAGGGATATGCTGCATAGTTTTCTTAAGTTATTGTTGTTGGTGTGGCCAGGAATGTCCTTTTTGTGTGTTATTTTCTGGTTTATTCTTCTTTGGCGTGTTTACAAGGTTGGTAAAAAGATTAAGAGATTTTCAAGTCATGTTTTTTATTTAGTCTTGGTTTTTTATGGCTCTATGACGAACATGTACGGTTGGTTGGTGGGGGGAAAGGGGTGGCACAAGGGAGACCATTGGTGATAAGAATGAGAACTTGAAGAACTCTAGTCATATTTACAAGGCTCATGATGATGATGAGAACAATGATGGACTAAAGTTGTCTAGGGAGAAATTGTCTTACAAAAAAAGAAGGGGGGGGGGGGGGGAGAGGGGGGGTTACATACACTCAAAGAAAAAGTTAGCTTAAATTGAGGTTTTTAGTGGGAAAACTTAAATTAGGTTTTCTAATTTTTTTTAACAGATCTTGAGTTGATGAAAATATTGACATGTGCCAAGTCTGAATGGAATCGGATGTTCACTCAGCGATTTATGAGCTTCGTGCATATTCAAAATTTTGACCCTTTGTGAGGGAGGTACCAGAAGGAGTGGACATATATATACCGTCTTCACATCAGATCACATGGTAGTAGAAATAATGGGATTTGTGAAATATAAAGAGAATCGGATGCTAATTTCGGATTTTATAATGGTTTTGGTTTTTCAAAATTTTGACCCTTTGTGGGGGAGGTACCGGAAGGAATGGTCCGATCTCTACCAACTTTATAACGGATATTGCGTTGGTGGAAATATTGGGATGTGCCAAGTCTGAATCGAATCGGATATTAATTTAGCATTTTTTGAGCTTCATGAATATTCAAAATGTTGACCCTTTGTGGGAGGGGTACCAGAAGGAGTGGACATATATATTCCATCTTCACACAAGATCTTGTGTTAGTAGCAATATTCGGATGTGTGAAATATGAAGAGAATTGGATGCTTATTTCGGATTTTATAATCGTTTTGGTTATTCAAAACTTCGACCCTTTGTGGGAGGGGTACCAGAAGGAATGGTCCGACCTCTACCATCTTTACAACAAATTTTGTGCTGATGAAAATATTGAGATGTGCCAAGTCTGAATCGAATCGGATATTAATTTGACATTTTATGAGCTTGATGGATATTCAAAATTTTGACCCTTTGTGGGGGAGGTACCAGAAGGAGTGGACCGATATATACCATCTTCACACCAGACCATGGGTTAATAAAAATTTTGAGATGTGTGAAATTTTAGGAGAATCGGACTCTTACGTCACATTTTATAAGAGTTATTATTATTCAAAATTTTGACTTTTTGTGGGGGAGGTACCAGAAGGAGTGGACCGATATTGTCCATTTTCATACCTGACCTAGCACTGATGCAAGTAAAAGGATTTGCA